TTGGGCAATTAACGCTGAAGAATGTTTTAAGTATTTTGACATTTTCTCGTTGTTTGGCTCATCCCCAAGATTTGAAATAAGAAGATGACAAAAGGATAAAGTAAGTGCTAACTTTCCATCTTTAAGATTTCTGGTGAGTGTTAATATGGAACAGCAGGCGAAGTGTGAGGCAGGAGTCGAAGTGTACAGTTTGCTTAGGAAGGTTCCTACCTGTGTAAGTGCAAGTGGCTACCATGATAAGAGCTGTTTGAATTATCTGACGCTAAGGAAAGGAGCTACAATGCTTGGATGGATTGTCATGGTTTTATTTTGTAGGCGCTGCGAGGCCAAAAAAACAATCATTATGCCTTCAGACTGCAGCGTACCATATATATACTGTAGCTGACTAGGTTAAAAAACGATGGACGCTGCTTTCCTGTGTTGGCAGCAGGTGGTGCTGCTGCTCTCTAACTGAATTTACAACATCGGCGGTTACTGCCAGACCGAGAAAAAACACATGAGATAGAATATTACAGATAATTGAGAGGATATATCTTTAAAAAAGAAAAAGAAAGAAATATATACATACATACAGAAAATGGTCCTTCACACATGCTTAGTACAGAGCACATAATCTTACTTTCCACATAGACAAGTTCAATCAAATTTGTATCGACATAAAACCTCAAAAAGGTTTTTGCAATAATTCAACATGTAATGATGCCACGTTTACATTGACCGATGCTTTTTATTTTTTTTAAATTGTGTGTTACCCATTGTTGTAAGACATCAATGACCTTGAATATCTTGACCGTAACTAAATATAATACTGCACCAGTGTTAAAATGCAATATCACAGATTCACACAGTATCTCAATAACCGACGACAACTACATACAACTAGAGCGAGACGCGGCTTTTCGGGTCTGATGTACTGCTTCTTTTTTAACCATAACAGATAACTTATAGTCCCAAATACTGTTCATTCACAGTATCCAGTAAAAAAAAAATCCATGCATTTGAATTGTGGCCCAGAGTGGCGAGAGACACTTTAACTTGGAATCAAGATAGAACAAGTATGTATAACTGCTGAAAATGCGAGTGTACAATGTACGCGTGCTCCGTTTGGTTCAGGCCTGCTGTCTCAGCACTGCGATGAGGTCCTGCAACGGCTCAGTGTCCTCCGCCTCCAGCAGCGCGTGCTGTCGGCAGAAGAGTGTGAGGTGTGCAAAGAGTGTGTTGAGATGTGGGTGCAGGCCGAGCGCCAGCGTCTCTCTGTAATGACACCAGTAAATGTGAGCCAGAGTTCTGAAGAACAGCAAAAACACCTTCTGGACCAGAAAGATAAAGCCTGTTGGAAAGGCTGAACCTGGGAAGAAAAGAAGAGAAGAGTGAAGAGATTATGGCTGTGAATGGACCAGGGACCGTGATGAAGAACAATGCAACATTGGTGAGGAGCCTTTTACCCGCTTTAGTGGGGAATATGTTCTCATCAGTCAGTAGCTCCTGAATGTATGACATGGCATAGTCGAAGTAAAGCGGAGCAGAGCACTTTACCTTCCTGCCGTGGTCATCAGTCCAAACATAAACCCTGAACACACACACGGTAATTATGTTCAGCCTTATAAAGAAACATTGTGTTCCCATTGTCAAAAAGGAACTCTCAATATACTTACCCACAGATATCTGTTGCCCTCACTTCTTTTTAACCCACATTTTAACCCCATTTCAGTCTTTACATGCATCGTCTTCAGCCACAACCGAAACAGACTTAAACAACATCACTTCCTCTGGAGTCTCCAAAGTGTTTTAACAATGTTTTTTTTCTCACATTTTCACTTCCCAATATCCATCACTCGCTCTAGAATTCAAATAAAAAACCTCCCATTTACTTAAAATAATACCTGAGGGAAAGAATCTGCAATAAGACGGCGCTGGGTTTCTTACGTGTTGCCCGGTCCACAGGCCGTGGGGCAGGTGCTGGGTGTGCAGAACTCTGACAGCGCGCCGGAGAACAGGTTTATGTGCTTGAAAAAGGCCACAGCTGAAAGAGATCGACAGAAAAATGACACTTTCCACATCTTCCCCGTCTGTGCTTGTGCACTGTGTGGAGAAAAGGGGTCGTTTAACATGGTTCACTCACTGTTGCTGGCAAGCCACTCAGCCTTGTCGACGCCGGGCGGCAGCGCCGAGAGGGCGAGCATGTCCGTGTGGGGGATCTGCTTGCACAAAAACTGCTGCTGCAAATACGGACGCTCTCCCAGATTATTGTTATTAATTCCCCTAGGGGGAAGACGGCCCAGCGTTAATGAAGCAGACAGAAAGAGAAAGACAAAGTATCGCGGTGTAAAACAATCAATAGGTCACTGGATTATTACTCTTGCTGCAGTCAGCAGATAACGTGGTTTTTACACACACACACACACACACACACACACACACACACACACACACGCACAAAAACAGTGCTGTAACTGCAGAGCTGTACGGCCAATAAACCAGCAGTAAATTTAATGAAGGCAGTCAATTTAAAGCCGGAGTCATTACTGATAGTAAAGCCCACTGTGGTCAGTACTGCAAAGAAAATGACTGAAAGGACCAACTTTGTTTGTGATAAAGCTCAAAGCTGAATGCTGAGGCCTGTTGGCTCTCTGACAGCAGTTGCTATAACAGCTGATAAGCTACAGGTAGTACCTGATAAACTTGTTACAATTACAGAAGTGAGTGCAGGGCTTGAATTAGGTCCCATTGTATGGAAAGTCCAACTCGGCAGCACGATTTGACTCTCATGCAAAGAAGAAGGTGACCAGGCAGCACTGTGAGGATGACGATCACGAGGGTCCCGCTTTGTTTCTTCCAAGCCGAAGACAGCTTTCAGTGCAAGTGAATGTTTTAAGTGTGCAGACAAATCAGGCAGCTGCCACAGTTGCCGTGTGTCGACAGTTTAAACGTCTACAGACAGAACAGCTGAGAGTTTCCCCCGGTGTGACATTGCCCACCGCGATAAGGGAAACACTGCTCTTTATGAGGCTTCACCCTGGTTTGAATATGCGTATGGGCAGGAAGAATTAGTATATTGGTCTAAACAGCCGGCCATTGTGCAAACTAAAAGGCCAGATGAGGTAGAGAGGGAGGAATAGTGACAGAGAGGAATGTAAATATTAGCTACACAAAAGGTACAGTAAGAGAAAGCCTGGTCTAGCTTCTCTAATTTCCACGGGAAGTACTTTTGTTAACATCCTGTTTTGTTCAGGTTAACTCCATTACCACTTCTGGGCTGCCAGTTGTCAACACACTAGCACAATGAACCCGGAGCTACTCGTAACGTTGTGTTTGTGTGTAAACACACACCTCCGTGACCCTTCGGACAGCAGGGAAGAGATGTTTGCCTTCACCTCTGCTGAAATAAAACAGTCCTTTCTAGTAAACAGTAAGCCGAACCATACAGCTGCATCCAAGAGCAAATGTTTGCCAAGCAGATTCAGCTGAAAACACAGTTGCTACAGGGCGTCCGGGTAGCTCGATCCCTCCCGTTCTGACCCGGGTTGGAAATTCAACCGTCACCCCCCACTTTGTGTACCCAACACTTTCATATCCGAAAATCTTTCAAACTACTTCTCAACATGTGTTGCCGGTGTTCAAGGAATCCACCTTAACTGATGCCATCAGACATATATGTAACACACACGCACACACACTCACACGGCCTTATCTGGAGAACATTCCTGAGTAAACCATGTGTGGCCAGCTTTCCACTTGTGTTGACTCTACCCGATCCATTACTATAACAACACGGTGCCTTAACGTTCAGAGTACAAGACTGCATGGAGGCGACTATAGAAAGACGGAACAGAAAAGGCCAAACGTATTTCCAGACGGAAGCTGAAACACGAGTGTAATGCTGATGAAGACATTTAGGAGAAAAAGGAAAACAACTTACAGTTTTTCATTGCGGATGCCAGAAGGCTGAAGGCTCTGACTGTCTGACTTCCTAGCCGAGGGGTAACTATGGCAACCCCCCATGGCGTGAAGCTAGGAGCAGAGGTGTTGGTTGTCCCAGCCCCAATTTTCCATCCTCACCATACTAACCCATACAGTTACTAGAGGCTACAGACAGCGTATGGGAACAGCTGCTACAGCACAAGCACCCTGCAACTCACACATTGATCCACACAGCTGACAAACACACAAAATAAGTTTTCCAAAACACACACAAAAAAAAGAAATAAATAAAAAGTCTTTCAGGAGTTGAGGATTGTCCTCCTGTGCTTGTCCTTTTGCTGTAGTGATCTAGTGTCAGTGAGTATGTGTCTCCTTTGTCTCGAGTCCCACGCCCCACAGGCTCCTCCTCTCCCCGCTCTGGGCAGACAGCCAGGTTTCTCCACAACCCATTAAAAGTACCAAATTCCGCCCTCTGCCCATTCTCCACCCACTGCACACACACTCTTGTCCGTTCTCTGCAGAGATAGCAGGCAGGAAACAAAGTAAAAGGTGTTTTTTGTTTTTCATTTTTCCTCTGTGGCAGAGGACGAAGGTTGAGAAGTAAAGCGGAGAAGCTGCAGCGTGTGGGAATCTGTGCTTAACTTCAGAGGAATGTGATGACATACACACTGTGTCCGAGCCAAGTGACAACACACAACCACAGGGGAAGGGCATATGTGCATATATATATATATATATATATGTATATATATATATATATATATATATATATATATATATATATGTATATATATATATATATAAACATATATATGAATGACTTGAAGCTGAAAAGTGCATATGTGAATTGTATGACCACTGTCACATGAACTCATTTCAGCTCACAGATGTGACAGGAGAGTTTATGTTTTCAGATGGTTGTAGCTTTGATCCTCAATGAGGAGCAAAAGGCAACATTAGGGCTCACCTGCCCCCCGAGGTAAATATTTGTGTGCCGCCACGGACCAGAGTCCTGCTCCGTCTTTCTCTCTGTACACTAGTGCAACAGGCTGTAAATGTGAGACAAACACTCATGCTTATTCTTGGTCTGACATATTTATTAGGTTCATATCTGAATGTACAAGCAAAATTGACAACAGGAAACAGACACATTAATCCCTAAATGAAGGAGAAGAAAGGAAACAAAAAAACCCACCAGCATCAGTCCCCACATACACACACATAATGCAAGGAAGATTTAAAGTTTGAAATGGCCGCAGAACAGACAATCGGATGAAGTAACAATTTAATACCCATCGTCTCTGAATTCAAGTTTTCTGCATACACTGTACGATCCAGCACATTCCCGACGAGGTGAATGAGGCTAATATGCAAACTTACTGGCACTTAAAGATAAATGTATTGTTCCTCATGCCATTATGCATAAGATCACATCCTACCCGTAGCTACACTGCGCACGCAGCCCTCTCAAGGAGTTTCTCCTCTAACCCTGACTCAAACCAACGCTTATTTTACACACCGCCACTTCAAAACACATCAAAGTGTAAAACATAATAAAAGCTCAAATATCTGTGGTCCAAGATGAATCTCTCAGTCTTTCTTTGACATCCTCTCTTACTGTGGATAACTCCATCTCATGATGAAAACAAAGGAGAGGGAACAAACAAAGACTGGCTTAGATTGCCTGAGACGCCTTTGCTTCATAGATATGAAAGCCAGTTGTAACATTTGTGGGAAGACACACTTTGGCAGAACGCATTGAAGAAAAAGTATTATAAAGTATCTACATCATTTACTGGTTGAAGTCAAACGTTCAAAGTGTGGCGGTGCTTGGCATCACCAAAATACAAACCAAAAGTGCTTCTTGAAAAAGTGCTTTTTAAATAAATACAACAATGCAAATTGTTCCATCGGCATATATGCAATTACAAGAAGAAAGACGACATAAAGCAAAAGCGTCGGGCACAGGCAAACCTGAAGAAGAACACTGGTTTACAACAACTTGGGTCTTGTTAGTGTTATGATTAGATTGTAGTTAACCAGGTATAATAAATGAATCAGCAATTCACTTTGTGCCAAACCTTAACGTGTTGATAGTCTGCAGCGTATGATTAGTTTACTGATCATCAGTTGGTCGATAAACTATCATAAAACCTAGATCAATCATAATTTCCTAAAAATCAAAACAGTCCAAAATCAAAAGTTAGTTATAACATTGGATGAATAAAAACTGCAGATTTGGAAACAGATAAGGTGACGTTTGCCCCCAAAAATCATTAATGCCTAATTGATGATCAAAATGTGTGCTATGCTAAATAGTTTTCTTCTGATGAACTACATCAAATCAACAACTGTGTTAAGCTCTACTGGGAGAAGTAAGCATAGGCATACAAATAATAACAACATGAGGATGAACATAGGTTGAAGCATCAGTTTTGGTATTATTTCAATGGCCACCAACTATTTCTTCCCCCAATAAAGATTTGTTAACCAAGTATTTTGTTTCAAACAGAATGAAAATAAGACCCAAGCTCCTAACCAGCATTATACTTAAAATAATGAGGTCAAAGACCAGACTACCAACTCTCATTTCACGCACACTGACACTTGCACAACCTCTCCTACGTCGAGGTTGTGCAACAGGAACTGATGCCGGGATATTAACTGAAACACAGATATCATTATTGCCTCATTTCAACAGTACAACACACACAATACCTACACAAGTTGCCACCTGCAAATAACCGCCTTTCCATACATTGGATTTATTCCAAAAATAGATATAATGTTCATATTTACGGTTTATATTACGTTTACATATTACCAAGGATAGCCACAACCTAATACACACCAAATCAAATTTCACAATATTACATTTCAACAGCTCAGAGGGTGATATGACTCGGTGTGCGGACATCAGGTTTCTTTGCACGCATGTAAGGAATTAGTTGTGTATACATGGGTGTACAGCGCCATCTGTATGTGTGTGTGTGTGTGTGTGACCTCTGCCTGATGTACAGAATGTATTCTCAGGCCACACCAGTGTAACACACACACACACACACACACACAAACACACGCAGATACAACAGCACACACACTTTTCAACATTGAGGAAGAGTCACAGTATCCCCAAATCTGAGGCTCCTAATAAAAACACCTATTTTCCTAAAGAGAGGGTAAATGTTTTGCATGATCAAGTCAAATAAATCTTACTTGTATTGCGAAATAATTTTAGTTGCATGTATAAAAAAGCCAAATTATCACTCACATTTGTACCAATAAAATATCTGGCATGAAATGCAGAAGAGAAAATGGCTGCTAGCTTTGCAAGCATCTTGGCTTTTGTAATTTTGACTAATTATTTGAATACAGTTTATACTAAAGTGTAAACAGTCAAATGCTCGAACAGAGAAAATACTCTGGGCTGTGATTAAATGCCCAGAGAGCGGCTTTGCTCAAACAATCTGAAATTTGATGGCGAGTTTGATAAAGGTCAAATTTCAGACTTAGATTTTTGTCTTCTGAAAGTGCCACGGCTGGCCTTCAAAACACACATCGCTCATCAAAACAGACGGGCGATGTTGTCTAAAATATACATTCATTCCAGGGGTTCAGTTATAATTTAGTCATGAGAAGGTAGAAGAGATCAATGTACACGTGTGTAAATATGTGTCACTCAGGGCTTTTTTGACCTCCACATGGAGTAGATATCATTCTTCAGATATGTGAGGGCTGCTAACACAAAGCTAAGCTGGTTGTGTGTTGAATGGAGAGGTATGACTGTGTGTGTGTGTGCCTTTGAGGCATCGTTAGGCCGGTCCATTAGCTGATGCCTGCGTTTCCCTGCAATGAAAAAAAACAAAATTGGTGAGGATTAAAAAAAAGACAGTTAGGAAAGGAAAATTGGGTTTGTTTATGTTGTTCAATGTTTACTATTATCCACCAAGATTTATAGAAAGCTACTACGGATAATCCTGGTTGTTATTAGATAAACTACAACATTTTGTCAAGTTACCACATAGTGGTGTTATACCGCTCTCTCGCTCACACACACGCACATATACACACTTACTGTGTGACAGCAGACGACTGGTCCGTTGGACTGGCGGTCGTCGGGTTAGGACAGTCTCCACAACGCTTTTGCTTTTTGCTGTCTTTTTTGTTGCTTTTCCCCTTGTCTTTCATGGAGAGTCCTTCACCTGGCACCGTAACTGCTTCACTGCAAAAGAAGAAGAAGAAAAAAAAGGAAGGAATTACCAACATGGGATTGTCAACAGACTGAAGATGCTACTTTCTGCCAGTGGCAAAGTTCCCCCAAAGTTGCTGCTTTCATCTGTCCGCATTGGCCATTACCACACCGAGTGCACAGTGCTCCGTGCAGCAACGTGTAAACCCACTTACTGTCCGTTACTGACCAACATCAAAGTGAGTTGCGCAAACAGTGTCTACGGTATCACACCCAAAGTTCCTCTAGTAGATATTTGAATCGAGCATGCTTGTAGCTGCACGGTTGTTAGTAACTAACGTCTTGTTTGGTTAGAATGTGCTGGATTGGTAGCATCTTCTGCTCATAGCATGCTATCTGACATACTGTTAGTAGTGTTGGGGCTCTGAAAGAAAACAAAATAATATATGATTTTATTCACGTTAAGACTGAGATGACTGACTAAGACTGAAAAAATCACCAAAGTTATCATACACTGATCTCATCTTTTGGTGGCAATTCCTACGATACCATTTATTATTATTTTTTTATTTTATTTTAAAGCCGTGTGGTCTGTTGGTCACGCAACAGTCCACACAGAATCATCGAAAAAATCCCAATGTTGAGACGTTGGGATGATCCTGGAATAGGGACGGAGGTCCCGTAGGTTCTCTACAAGCCACCGGTTGTGAGTTAGTATTTTTCTTGAATGAATGAATGAATTAGGCTGGTCTGGAATTAAGGCAAGTCAATGTTTCATCAATTCCTGTTAAATGCAACAAGCAAAAAAAAAGAAAACGTGGCACATATGTGCTTATGCTGGACTTTTAAATCCTTCATGTAGAATTGGGGAGAAAAACTCTATAAAAACACATAACGTACACTAAAAGAAGAGGGATACGCTGCACCAATAAAGACAGAGCAGCTGCACGTCACTTGTGTGTGACTGTGTCTACCTGCTGAAGACTGCCCTTTCATTTTTGGCGTCCACGGTGAGCCGAATTGTCTCCTTTCCAGCCCCAGTTGTGATGGTTTCCGTGGTGACCGCGTCGCTGGTTGACGACTCGCGAAGAGTCTTTCCTACCTCCTCATCACTGTCTGAGCTGCTGGAGGAAGAGCTGTCTGACGCTACCAGTGGAGCTTTTCTCGCCACACAAACACTCCACACACATGCTGCAAAGAGCGAAGAAGAAATGATCCAACTTTAAATTGGAGGTACACTGATTTCTCTGGAGAGGTCTACCCGTAGGAGGTAAGAGATTGACAGACAGGCCCGGTTCAGACCTGGCAGTAACGTGCATCTTGGGTGATCCGAAGTAGAGTTGTGAATGCACCAGAGACGCATTGCGATCCAATGGCTCAGAGCATATTTGGAGATGTTCTGGGCCACATATGGTCACATTCTTTTATTAGCTAGTACGCAAATGTGGCCTGGTCCACCCAGACGGACCGCCCTGCTCAAGCCTACATGTGTGCGTCTGTGTGCGATTGCACACAATACGGGTTTATTTTTATACAGAGCGTGGTAGTGATATCCGATCACAAGCGGTCACTCAAGCAATGCAATGTCTGAACTGGCACATCTAGGGCTCTTCACTCGATATGGATGTGGCTCAGCTGGGAGAGCGGGTTGCCTTTTGACCCCAAGATTGAAGGTTCAATGTTTGCTTGAGGACCAAGCCCAGTGCAATGCTGCTGAATGCTCAGAATTGGTTAAATGCAGGAGTCAAATTCCATGCATGTACACTTTCTCTTTGATTTGAATGAGAAAATGTGTATAAACTTTTGACTGGTACTGTGCATGAAGATTATAATAACGTTAAAGCGTTACAATTTTTTGAGATTCGATCACCCAAAATGCATGTGAATGCAAAGTCTGAACAGGGCTTATGAGCCTCTTAGTTAAAATGACTTTATCAGCAATATGCCAAATCAACCGTTTGACTGTTTATTCTTTGAATATATTCATTCTAATAATGGAATGAAAAGTCAAGTATGGTTCAATTGAAGTTCTCAAATAAAAATGTGCCGTGCTTCAGCCACTTACGGTTCTGATTTGGTTTAGTGTTGCCTGATCCGCTGAGCTCAGAGTCCACGGGAGAACTACATCTAGGGCCGGTTTCAGAGCTGGGGATGAGTAACACAGAAGAGTAAACCTGCAGATAGTGCAGTGCAGTACAGCCAATAAACTACTCAAGTTAAATGTAAGGGCGAGTTCTTTCCCGTTTAGGGTGTATCTATGTTTCTGTTCCAAAAAATATATATATAATTCCAAAATGATTTATCAAACAAACCACTATAGGAATGTCTTTATTTTGTATCAATTTGTAATTACTGAAAGGGTTATGCACACATTAGTTGACTTTTATCACAGTAGTTTGATCAAAAAGTAATCTTTTGGATGCATTTCTCACATAAGCTTCTAATATTTAGATGCCCCTCAAACTTACCAACAGAAAGGCTGGAAGTCAGAGAACTTGGCCCAACCTTTGTCCTCTGCGCCGGCTGGTTTGGAGTCTGGAGTGTCCCAGGCAGAAAAGCCCCCTCCTAATGAAGGAGCCTTTGAGTTCGCCTCCTCAAAGTCTGCTATCCAGCCACTACCTGGATGCCATGAGAAACATGCTCAAACCATGCTTTGGCCCTTATATTTGGGCAATACCCATATTGAATATTATGCATTACTACAAAATACAACATGTCTCACTCTTAGTTCCATCGGTTTGGCTCTGACTTGAGAAAGGATCTAGGTCATCTCTCGGCTTCTCTCCTTCCACTGAGTCAGAGTCTGCTGCAGTGTCAGAAGCCTCAGGGACAGAAGCTTCAGCCCTATCACAATCTTTACTGGCTGCAGGGCTCTGGGATGATCGTAACCCACCGAACCTTGAATCACACCAAACAGTTGTTGTATGATATACAGAATTAAATTAATTAAATTATTTAAAAAATAAAATAAAGCAATCCAGAGCATTGATCATCAGCATTTGTTGCTGTGCGTCTACCTGTTACGGGACTTGGTTTGTGTTTGTGCAAATTTCATCTCCTTCTCCTCCCAGATCCCTTCTTCATCATCGTCAAAGGGCTGAATCCTCTCCTTGGAACAGGTCTCAAACACAGCTGTATTAGACTACAGAGGACAGTGCAGATGTGTTTAGTAAAATCAGTTTTAAGAAATTGACTAAATATATTTACAGCCAAAAACAGTCCAGAAATACAAATTTACGAAACATTTCTGTAAATTACATTGAATAACTCACGTTGTCCTGTCCTGCATCAATGTTTATATTGATCGCTGCAATTCGGTCAAACGTTGCTCTGCCATAACAGAAGTAATCAATCAATTGAGACACAATAACAGCAGCACTCTGTCAGACAGAGAAGAAAGTGATTTTATTTACCCAATACTGTCATCATGATCAGTAAACTCCTCATCATTGAAGCCAAACTGATCCACAAAGTTGGCCGTCATCTGTTGGATCTGGTAGTCTGAAAAGACCTAAAACACATTATAATTTTTGTTAAGACCATCTGTGATAACAGAGAGCTTCAATAGATAGTGTGTGTGTGCTCATGTACGTCTACCTGCTGTAGAGTCAGTTCTTTTGGGAAGGGGCTCTCCATGTCATCCTCTGAGGAAGAACGTGGGTTTCCCGTACCAATCTGGAAATTGAATAAAATAGATGTATCTCAAATGTCACGTTTGGAGTTTGAGTGTGTAATTATAGACAGCTACTATGTCCTGTAGATGCGCATGCCTGCATCTTTACCAGGTCTATAGTGTTCTTCCTATTAGTCTCTGACAGGGTCTGGTCCACAAAGGTTTCCCAGCGCCCTCTGTAGTCTTCTGGCAGCTCTACATCCAAAAACACAAGAGCAGCAGCATTGAGGAAAGCGTTCTTCCAGTAACAATCTTCAGGCTGTTAATCTTCTAAATTCCTTCTTTCTTTCACACAGGGAAAGGGAGTACACCCGTCCGCCCTCACCTGTAATGAGACTACTAATCTGTGTGTGAACTGGGCCCTTCTCCAGGTTGTGGACTACGGTGTTGGCAATTCTGGTCAGATGTCCCATGTATCCTCTTCTCATACCACCTTCTGACCTGAACACAAGTTACCACACACTCCTGTTATAGGCAGCCGCTGCCTGTTCGCAAAAACAACATTATGCCAAAAAAGATCCTTACTGCATCTTATCATTCTCTTCCCAGGCCTCCAGAATCCTCTGCACAAGGTGACAATGCTGAAATAACTTGTAAGAGAAAGAAATAGTCAATAAATTATTTTTAATCTACGTTACAGCCGGTCAAATATACTTTAAGCATCTAGCTTGAAACAAAAGCGGAGACACCTACATTAGTCACCATTAGATTATGTGCAGAGTTTTCAGGGGGGGCTGAAGGTTCAGAAAGGGCATCAGTCGAAGCCTGCTCCTGTGAGCCACCCTGTGGGGAATTGGATTTGTCCTGGGCTCCCGTGCCAGGCTGAAGTCTCATTTCATGGGCACATGGCCGGAGAATAGCAGCAACACAGAGCTCTACCTGGAGGTGCAGGAAGTTGTTCCACGTATACTTGAAGAACAAGTCCTGAAAAAACGGAATGTTTTCCGATGGGACATTTAACATCAACAAAAGCATTGCTTTTGCAATTATTGGGCTAAAACTGCAGCATGCTTGCTCATTTCACCAGAAGCAGGTGCATTGTATTGAGTCGGCAGAGTTCCTGTGCTACTACAGCGTGACTGGCAGAGCTGGTGTACAACAAAGAGGCCATCAGTCTGGCTACGTGAAGGCGCGTGTTCCCCAATGGTTCCTTTAGCACACCCAGAGAAGTCAGCATGGGATTCCGCTAAAAGCAGACAAAATGGATGGTAATTCAGGGAACAAATGTTTAAAAAGGTTTAGCGGAGATGCGGTTCACTGATGCAACTAATAAACGTTGCTGATGCTAACGGTTACCAAACTCTCGATCTTTGTTACGTACCTTGGGTGGCTCCAGAAGTAGCTGGTGGAAGTGTACTAGGTGTGGTTGGATAGCTAACAAAATGCTGCTGTTTACAGTGTAGCTTCTCTCAAATCCCTGAGCATCCATGACACCATCCACTCTGGTATACAAGGAGACCAAATGTATGAAAAGCAGGAAAACGATGGATAAAACCTTTAAGAGAAATGTGACCCAACTTCACAGAGTATAACTTCTTTCTAAAACAGATAAAATTGCTTAAAACTCTCACACAGGCCTCCTGATTTCCAGTAATGTGAGAATCACTTGAATTGCATTGATGATACAGCTCTCAGTACTTTTGGCTGAGAACATATTCTGCAGCAACTGCTCCACACACTCCTGCCTGGGGAAACAAAATGGAGGATGTCATCGCCTCCACTAAAAGAGTGCAGGTTTACGTGTTTACGTGTGTAAATCGGTCTGACTTACGACTCCAGCACAGTCAGCAACGGGTCAGGCTGTGAAATCTCTGCAAGCTGATTGGCCTGGTCTCTGCTCAGACGAATGATGTCACACAAAGTCTGAGACGCATTGGACTGCCTCTGTAAGAGACACACAAAAAAAACAACACAAATTCACCATGAACATTGTGTCCTGTGAATTGTTTATTCAAAAAGGTCTGTGTGCTAGTTTCAGTAAAGATAGTAGTTAATCATTAACATATAAATATTGAAATGCCCTTTTACCTCTTCATCTCTCTCAGGGTGAATGAGCTCTATGAGTCTCTGTGCCAGCTTCTCTTTATTCAGCCACTGTCGAGGCAACGTCACATTATAAGTGCAAAGTAAATAACCGTGTTAAAGTGTTTCTATGAATGTTTCTATTGATTTGTCTCATACAATAAGTGTCTCGAGCCTTAGAAGAGGTGGCTCGACACAGCTGATGAGCCTTAGGAGGACATCCATCATGGCGGATGTGTCAATATGCTTCAGCACCAACAAAAGGAATCCCTCCTTCCGTCGCAGGAAACTAATCACCTGAACGCAACAGAGAGCAGAGGTAACGACATGACTCAAGAAGATTTATAAACTAAAAATGGGTGTCAAGATTAAAATCAGGATATGTACATGCAACCTTTCTTTCAAAAGTTGTATTTGACCTTATTTGTAAAACAAATAAAAAATATATCTCTTGGGTAAGTGGGATATTGTTATTGCAAAAAACATGCCTTTAAGTATTTAAAATATATACATGTACGGTATATATAAAAATAACCTATTATAGTCGCCAATATACAGCTAACATTACATCTCTATTTAACTCTTATGCACCTGCAAGAATGTATATTTATACACACATTGTAAATTAATGGACTGATCCAATACATTTGCACATAAACATATTACTAGTAGTGGTGAGAAGGTATAGGTTCTTTTAATTTTTTGGGTAATTGAGTACAAGTGGCAAAGACATCTGTTGGGGTTTTAAGTAGAAGTGAATGTCTAGTCATAGAATTTGTAGTACGTGTAATGATGTTTAGTGATAGAATTGTAGTTTGTGTGTTATTAGATATTAGTTATTACATTAACATGTTAGATTAAGTGAATGCAATTTCAATCAAACACAATTCATAGTCATTTAAATCATATAAACACTGTACACATTAACATTCTGTCACAATGTGATGTTAAAACCTGGGGACGGATGCCAATTGCCGTTCTTTATGGATTTCTCCCAATTTTATCCCCAAAAAGGGTTTTTTGGGAGTTTTTTCTCCTGTCAGGTAATAAATGAACAACTTAATGTAAGGCAGCCGACTGAGGCAAATGTCTTGAGAATTGAACCACATGAACTGTCTTAGATCTTAAGATGAAGTGTGATGAACGGTCATCATTAATGATGGGTTGTTGTAATTAAAGTGTACTAGTTATAAGATGAAGACTTAAACAATGTATGCTTTGTTGGGTTCACTCATTGAGGCATAAAGCCAATGTATCTACATTGAGTGCATTGGAATGTGAGGGACAGATGGTCAGAGAGGTTTCAGGTTACAGCTGCAGCTTCACACCTCGACGTGGAAGGGACAATGGAGGAGGTGACCCTTTGGAGAAGAGGCCAATGACATTCAAATGCACCAAAGAAGACACACCTCAAGAGTTTTCAAAGGACCATGGCGGGGGAAAGACTGTTAGAACTTCTCCTGCAGCCGCATTGATAAGTCACTTCAGACTTGCTCAGAGGATTCTCTATTTCGCGAAATATTCCACTGTTCGCTTAGTATTTCACTTTGTAATTGTAATCCCTATTACGTTGTTCAGTTATTAAATACTTTTGATTTTTGAATTTAAACGAATTGACTCATTCGTGTCCTCGTTTCCGGCCGGGACGAGAACAGAGGATTGAGTCCTCCCTCGAGAGCTTCCGAAACCTTAACACATCTACAGAACCTTTATTAAATTCGGCAATTGTTATTTGAATTCCATATCATGGACAAAGTGAAGGTCCATGTCACCAGAATCCTTTCAAACCGTCCCTCTATAACATAAACAACCATCCGTAATGTCTGTCACAACAAGTCCTCACCACTAGCAGGGTAATACCTGAACTTTGTTAACTGCTTTATGCGTTGGAACGTCTGCTTTTTTAAATAAATAATTGGTTGAGAGAAATTCTCAGTGTGAGCAGTCGTATTATCTTGCCGTAAGCACCCGTCAGACAATAAACACAATAAACATGGATGCCATCTTCTTGGTGTACGCCCTTTGATTCAGCTGTTACGAGTTACGTGTGTGCGTTACCTGCTCGGTCTTCCGTGTGATGAGGTTTCCAATTGTCTTGCTAAAGAAAGATGCCAGGAGGGGGTTAAGTGGGGACGGCTGCTCCAGGAAGGCATACAGCGTTTCCAGCAGAGGCTCATCATTACCCAGCTTATCATTGATCACTCCCACATCACACGTCAAAAGCTCACAGGCTATGTTTGGATATCTGAAATAAATACAGAGAACACATCTTACAGTCAAGCCAAGCAGAAACAATACAGACCGTTATTGTCTACATTAGAAGTGCTAAAGTAAAACTGAAAAAATAGTAACAAGAGTTGTCCTGATTTTCACAGGGTGTTGTCCCACAGACAATTAACTAGTTTGACATTTAGTAGTAACTAGTTGCTTGTAAGCTATGGTGAAGAGCAGCACCAACAGAATCCATCTCTTACTGGATACAGTATGCCAATTCAGCATATTCTGCACAACCACCTACTTGAAGCGCTTTGTCTCCTGTACACAGGCAGGGGGCTCTGTAGTAATCATACGGACAAGGTCCTGCATGCAATGGTCCTGGCTCACAAACGAGAGAAGTCTACAAATTCATAAGGATCAGAAAAGAAGCACCAGTTAGCAATGGAAATGCAATAATAAAATAATATCCTGCTGATATGTTGTACATGCACAATTTACTGACCTTCTGTTCTGGGCCTTGCACTCCTGCAACACATCTTCCTCATTCATTAGCTCAATGAGCGTGACATCCTCCTTGTTCAGTAGAGCCTCCAGATGAGACGACGTGTGCAAGTCAAATTTCCAAAACATGGCTAACGTCACAAGCACACACACTTAACTGTGGACCAAAAGAGGATGTGACATGGTCACCTATCATGCATCATGAAGGTTGAGCATGCAAGTTAATGAGCATTTTGAACTGTGTGCTGATCAATTCACTTTGTGCCATAATATAATGCATTCTCTTACATATGGACAAGGAGCAGTTTCCTCAGTCGGATCTTGCTAAACAGCCATTTGCCTCATTGACAATGCACGGCCTGGACAACCATCAGTGTCAGCAAATTCACACAAGGAAGTCACACACACAAACCCGGGAGATATTGACATCAACCTGGTAATGAGAAAATAAGAAAGCACAAATGTTACAGAATGGTTTGAAAGAAGAGTTACCTTCCCTTCCCATCATGCGAGTCTGCGTACATGATGTGACTAGGCTGCACTCCTCTCTGAAAGGAGCAGGAAGCAATGCATCTGTAATTGAGTTAGTGCTGCTCGGAGTATTGACATCACCCAGCTTTGAGAACGGCCTCACGCTCACAGTTACACTAGTAAACAACCACGGGATTCAACACAATGCAATACAAAAAAGGGAAGACATTTAACTTTGGTGCGTGAGAGAAATACTAGGAACAGCAGTCCAATGGACGGCTGACACAAGCCAGTTGATCGGGTGACGGCTGTTGACTCCAGCATGAGCTGACATTTCTGAAACTACATGGTGCAAATTTGAGATGTGTGGTGATAATGGCAGTTGAGGGAGGGATCTTCGATTACACCCTCCCCCCCCATACACACACACACACACACACACACACACACACACACACACACACACACACACAGCAGACCACGATAACAGTGGAGAATCCATCTTAATAGCCGATGACTCAAGACCTCATCCATTGGACTACACGGTAGATTATGATAAAGGCACCTCGTGACGTTGTGCAGCGTGTTTGTCTAAATGATGGACGTGTGTTCGCATAGCGCAAAGTCAGCATGCACAGTAGAACATGTGCAATATCATTACGCACCGCATTACAATAACGACCGCTGCTTAATGTGGGTATTCCTTCGAAAATAAAAAATGTTGTCTATAAACGACACCAAATGGACACGGCTTAATAAACAGGTGTGTTTTTTTTTCGTTCAGACTAATAACCTCTCGAATTACCCAATAGCTAAATCAGGCATGGATTTAAAATGCCATAGGGTTACAACAGCACAACCTTGATCACATTTATTTTTTAAAGCAGGCCTTTCCTCGCGTCCTGAGATCAGCTGGTAACGGTTAGCTAAAGCTAGCTGTCAACGGAGGGGAACAGCATATAGTGCAATGAAGTAACGGTTCACTCGGCGTCACTAGCTAATCTTACCCAGCCAGCTGTCTTAACCGAACACCATGTCAAGACGACCGATCTCTATCGGTCCCGTTACGTTTACAGTGCCCAACGACGGCGCCTTCCCCTCCCTTACCTTGCGCGCAGGACGTGAACCAGCCCGCTAGCGATATACCTTCATTCGGTTGTTAACGTTACTAAACTAACGTTATTTCGATACGTAAACGCCACCGGGTGGCTCAAAATGCTAACAGTGGCTCGACCTGTCGTCCTTCCGATTCACAAGCCCCCGACGCGTCCTTCCGGTCAAGTTACCGTAACATTTGTTTACTCCCCGAAGCGACCGTTACCGTGCTGCCACCCGGCGTCATCTAAAAGTTTGGTCTCTCGGGTGACACGCCCTCGGCGTCGACGCTGTCCGGGTGAAATATTTCGGCAGGAAGGCACCCAAAGGATATCTGTCACGTTTGCGAATCAAAATGGCGGGTACCTATAACGTAATCAAAAGTTCAACTGTCCGTCAAGAGGGTGAAAGCAGAAGGCTGCTGGCTATTCGCTTGAGGTCACCCTGGGGGGGGGGAAAGGCCCTTTTAGGGGCACGGTGATACAGCAAATAATTGGAAACAAAATATTCTAGTTTTAATTCTCAACGTTTGGCTTTGAGATCAAAATAATAATAAAACATTTTGCTTTTAAAATAGAAGTCTTTGGTCTCTGGCAGTGTTGGCAGGGACTGTCCCTCACTTTCTGACCTCAGATCTTTGCAGCATAGCGACCGAATGTTTAATATTTAAACATACGTGTGATAATACAAATGTGCAACTCAAGCACGCTTTAAATGAAGCTCCAGAAAAAGGATTGCAAAAATGAATACAGTGTTCATCAGTCAGTGTGTCGGCCCTCTAATCCCCCAGTGACCATGAACAGGATTATGCCCCTGTGTCATTTATTATTTTACCATATCTGAAGCTTCACTCCTCTTGGTGTATGTCTTGATGTATGGTTAATAGTGGAATAAACATTGAGATACGTTACGTAATTAAAATAAGCAATCTCACGATGTTGAAATACTTAAAAGCAAGTAAAAGAACCAAAGTCTGGGCAGTATAATCTCTGTACACGTGACATCTATTGCACTTCTGGAGGAAGAGATCCTTCCTCCATCGCTCTCACTAAGGTTTCTTTGGGTGGGGGAGTTTTTCCTGTGATGGTGTGAGGGTCCCGGAATAGAGGATGTTGCATGTGTACAGATTGTAAAGCCTCCTGAGGAAATTTTTTAGGGATGTACAAAATAAATCAATTTGAATTGAAATTGAGCACTGCAGATATTGGTCCTTTAAAAAGTCCCTGCAAATATTTTGCATAAAAGTCACGAAATTCTAACCATAGACATTTGAGGGGGCGCAGTGGTGTGGTGGTGAGCACTGTCGCCTCCCAGACCGAAGAAGGGTGGCTAATGCCAATGCTGGCTGGGATTTAATCAAGTAATTGTAAAAAAAAAAGTGCAGCCAGCATGTCAAAGAACATTTAAAAAAGATTCCATGTTCGAAAACAAATATTTGAAAAAAATCCCCAAATATTTTGAAAAAAGTCATGAAATTCTTACTATATATCATATTAGGGGGCACGATGGTGAGAAAAGGACGATGTCCTGCTCTATACCGCAACAAGGACCGTAACCACTGCTACTCACTAGACTCTGACCGACTGCCTCATTAAATCATGGATGCAATTTTCTCAAACTCAACTGTGATAAATCCGACATGATCATCATCGGTCCAAATTCTCTCACCAAAACCAGTCAAAAAGTCTGACATCTCCACTCTGGCCCCCTCCTACCTCACCGACCTGCTCCATCATCTCCTTGCATCCCTTTGTCTCTCTGCTCCTTGACGCCGACCACCTATCCACCCCCCATAGGACCGAGCACTGGACATGGGCCTCTCCCCAAACTCACTCGAGACTGCACTGACCTCTCCACATTTAAAACAATCAAAACCCACCTCTTCAGAACTGTTTTTAATGTATGACTGTGTGTTTGCTTGTTTTTTATTTATTTATTTACAGCTTAGCTTTTGGGATATTTAATATATACGTATATCATTTGGAAAAGCGCTATGTAAATTAAATGTATTATATAGCATTTGGAAAAGCGCTATGTAAATTAAATGTATTATATATCATTTGGAAAAGCGCTATGTAAATTAAATGTATTATATAGCATTTGGAAAAGCGCTATGTAAATTAAATGTATTATTATTATTAAACTGTTGAGTCATAAGCAATAAAATGGGCTTTATATTTTGGATCACAGAAGGGGTGTGATGCACCTAAAGAGACTGACTGACACCACATGTAACCAAAATTAGTTCAGAATTTTCTGGAAGAAAATATCCTAAAATGTCCTAAAACATAAACCTTTATTGGTCCCCGTTGATTTGACGTTTGGATTCACCAACTTTAGCTAAACGCAGCTTTCCTCCATTTGGAAACGTTAAGATATAATTGGATATATTTGAATAGCCAAATCTTCACACTTCAGATAGTGTGGTGCATCCTTCTTTTAAGACTCACCAAAAACTCATCATTTAAGAAACGACTGTTTTTTTCTGACGTGGACACATTTTCTACTCATTTTTAAAATATGTTTTTTTTGTTGCATTAAACCTATTCAGTCAAAAAGTAAATTCGCAGCCATTTCCCACCTATGTAGGCTTCCGGGTATAAAGCGTAATTTACCAGTATTACTATAACGTGCCGCATTGTAAACGTACCACCACCGTTTATTACGTGGGAAGATAACAGCAACACGCAATTATAGCCCGTTTCTGCAATAATATGGGTGCTGTTTGGTGACATCTTTTTTTTTCCCCGAGTGGGTGTTTGTCGTAGTATCTGGCAACCCCGGACACCCGCAGCCGTTGGTCCTTGCGTCGGTTCCTCTCTCCGCTCAAGCTCCGCAGAAGGTCTTTCTGTGTAGCCGGCTAGCATCATGTCGAACGTTGTGGACACGAAGCTATACGACATCCTCGGAGTTTCACCGTCTGCCTCTGAAAATGAACTGAAGAAGGTACACGGGTTGTTGTTTCGAACGAGCTGGGGATGTGTTTAGAGCGAGCGGAATTCTGAAAAAACGGTGAATTTCGGCCTAGAATACGAACAGCGTTGAGCGAGGTTAAGGGACGCTATCGCTAGCTCCGCAGCGACTTGACAGCTTGCTAAGCTAGCCAGTACGCTAAGCTAGTCGAATAAATGTGGAGTACGGAATGGCACCGCGTTAAAGATACTCGTTGGTGTCAGTAAAATATCAGCGATGATTTTGATTTTTGTCTTTTTTTTAAATTTGTTTTTCTAAATCTCCCCGAAAACCAAGAAATATAGTGTTGACCACGAGCGTGATAGCCGGCCGGCTATTGACGCTAGTTACATGATACATTCCAGCAAATAGTCCCCACCAAGTCATACAGTAACGAAGCGACTGCTAACCAAACATCTCCTCTAACCTCGATACACGAGTACCATGACAAGAAACCCAGTTGTTTCTTGTTGGTGTACAATACTGTATTTCTAAACTTGAAGTGAAATGTGTCGTGAGTTGAGGTGTAAAGATAACGCTACACTTTAAGTTAGATGAATGTCTTGTAACGTTAGCTAACGCTACTGAATACTTTGGTTGTCCCTTACTTCCTGCGTATCGTAAACGTCAATTACCCCAAACTCAATTCAATTATAGGCTAATTTAACAAGTCTGCTAACTGGGACATCGGGACGACGTAACATGTTTTTGTTAATGTAATGTAACGTTAATGTCAAGCCTGTCGCCTGTCATCCTACCTCGTTACTCCTTCTAAAACCTACTGGGCGATGGCAACATCTGATCGTGATCCTCGTTCAACACGTTTTTGTTCTGTGAAAATGAAGTACTTTTAGATTTGCCAGAAGATCTGAAATGTGATGTCTCTACGTCTCTGTCTCTCGAGTATCTCCACATGTTAAACTCATCGGTGCACTTCTCGCCAGTGTCTGTATGTGGTTGACGCAAGTAAAACCTTGGCTGTAAGCACAGTTAATGCACGCTGTGACTAGCTACAGGAGCTTTACAGGACATTTTGTGCCTGTCTCCACGGCGCTAACACAGCTTTGTTCATGTATTACAGGCCTACCGCAAACTGGCCAAAGAGTACCATCCTGACAAGAACCCTGATGCTGGAGACAAGGTGTGTTGCACCAAAGAAAGGTTAAACAGCACTAGTGAAGTTATTCAACAATTGTGAACAAGAAATTCTGTTAACTTAGTTTATTGTGATCACACATCCCAATTTTGGAGGTAAGTTACAGATCAGAAAACAGAATATGAAACGGCTTCTTCCCCCAGTGAAATGGGCGTCAGTGTTTGATCCATACTCTCCATCTCTCAGATACCGCAATGTGACACATAAGGCCAGACTGCATTTTAGTTTCTTTGTGCTTTATAACAGGGGCTCTTAAGAAAACACACTTTAGTTGTCCCTTTTTGCTGTGATGTTCTGAGTTGTTTGACACTGTGTCAAACGGTCTGTCTGATTTTGTTTTTCATTTTCCAGTTTAAAGAGATCAGTTTTGCATATGAGGTGCTGACAAACCCGGAAAAGAAGGAGCTTTATGATCGTTATGGAGAACAGGGCCTACGAGAGGGAGGAGGCGGTGGGCCTGGCATGGACGATATCTTCTCTCACATTTTTGGCGGAGGACTGTTTGGCTTCATGGGGGGGCAGGGCAGAGGGCGCAATGGAGGCAGGAGAAGAGGAGAAGATATGGTACATCCTCTGAAGTAAGTGTGTTGCAGAAATATGGTTTGGTGCTTCAATAGGTACTTTGAATATATTGTGTTGTTGCACACATCTTGTATCTCTTTTTGTCATGCAGAGTTTCTCTTGAAGATGTCTACAATGGCAAAACCACCAAACTGCAGCTTAGTAAGAATGTGCTGTGTGCTGCCTGTAATGGGTGAGTTTGCTTTGAACGTCATATTTTTAAAACCTGAAAGAAGGTTGCATGTAATTTGAGTGATTTTGTTGGAGATGCTTGCCTGTTAACAATGATGGGTCTTTACTGTTTGCCTTTTAGTCAAGGGGGTAAGGCAGGAGCAGTCCAGAAGTGTGTGGCATGCAGAGGACGAGGTATGAGAATCATGATTAGACAGCTGGCGCCTGGGATGGTTCAACAGATGCAGTCAGTCTGCACAGATTGCAATGGAGAAGGTATTTAGTCCGTAAAAATCCACACACCAACTGTAACTAAGACTGATATTGTACAACAACGACCACAGCGTCACTCTGAAATTGTCCAATCTCTGCATGTGTCCTTGTGCAGGTGAGGTGATAAATGAGAAGGACCGCTGCAGAAAATGTGAGGGTCACAAGGTGTGCAAGGAGACTAAGCTTCTTGAGGTGCATGTGGACAAAGGCATGAGACACGGACAGAAGATCACATTCTCTGGGGAAGCTGACCAAGCACCAGGGGTCGAACCAGGAGACATAGTCCTGGTGCTGCAAGAGAAAGAACATGAGGTAAACAAAATAATTGGCTTCTTATAGTGATGGTTTAGCTGTATCTATTTTTTCATCACAGCTTAGAAGATGATATTTCTACATTTGTTTGTTGTACATGTTATAACCCATATAACAAGTTTGGATGTCAATCTAAATCAGGAATTCCGCCGTGATGGCAGTGACCTTCACATGGTCCAACGTATCGGTCTGGTTGAGGCTCTGTGTGGCTTCCAGATGACCGTTGCTCACCTTGATGGACGTCAGCTGCTTGTCAAATATCCACCTGGCAAGGTCATTGAGCCAGGTAAACAAGTCTTCTGACCACATTTATTGATTTTTGTCCCCGACATGATAGTCCTGCTTTCTTTTTTTATGATGTTTTAAGGTTCAAAAGATAATAGCTCCTATGGTCTGATATCACAATATATAATACATAGCCTGTAAAATGCAAGGTACAGGATTCCGATTGCGTCTGCGTGTCTTTACACCACTTTGTTGTTGTGTGGCAGGTTCTATTCGAATGGTGAAGGGAGAAGGAATGCCTCAGTACAGAAACCCATTTGAGAAGGGAGACCTTTACATCAAGTTTGACGTCCAATTCCCTGAAAACAACTGGATTAGCCCAGAGAAACTGAATGTGGGTCCCAACTTTCAAAGCCTCGCCTTGCACAATTTTAGATTGATTGGGCTTGAATGATTGCACTTTCATTTCTTCTAAAAAAAACAACCAACTATTTTCTTGCAGGAACTCGAGTGCTTACTGCCTGCTCGTGCGGAGAATCCTGTTATTGCAGCAGATGCGGAGGAAGTTGATCTTACTGAATTTGACAAGAGTCAAGGGTCAGGTGGAGCCAGGAGAGAGGCCTACAATGATAGTTCTGATGAGGAAGGGGGGCATCATGGCCCGGGGGTGCAGTGTGCACACCAATAGAAAGACTTATGCATTAAAACATGCACATTACAGACGCATTTCTTGAGTCCCAATGCTAACATCTTTCAACACTTCCCACACATACATGTTGATTTCTCTCCTTTCATGATTCGCATGAAAAGAGGTATACACAAATACAGATACACTATATCAACCCCCCTCAGTTTCATTGTGCCCATAAGTCAGAGATATGCTGGACGTCTGATGACTATTTCGTGTTTATGGACAGTAGTGCTCATCAGTCTCCAGCAAGAAGGTTCACTGAAGGAACTTGATTGGATCGCTCTCTTTTCATCCTCTGCTTTTACCTTTCACTGTGCAAAACACCAGTCTATTGTATAAAATGCAAATATTGTTGACCTTCTTGTATACAGTGTAGTTTAGTCTGTCACACACATACACACACACACGCGCGCATGCTGCTTTCTTGCCGAATGATCTTGCACATGTAGATCAAGGGTCCAGATAGGACACTACAGAGAAACCTGACATCCATCCATGCATCATCAAACCGCTTATCCTGCACACAGGGTCGCGGGGGGCTGGAGTCCATCCCAGCCAACTTCGGGCGATAGACAGGGTACATCCTGGATTGGTCGCCAGCCAATCGCAGGGCTACACAGAGACACACAACCATTCACACTCACATTCACACATCTACGGGCAATTCAGAGTTATTAACCCCCAATTAACCTGATCCCCAGAGCATGTCTTTGGACTGTGGGAGGAAGCCGGAGAACCCGGAGAGAACCCACGCAGACACGGGGAGAACATGCAGACTCCACACAGAAAGGCCACTGGGCGGAATCGAACCCAGGACCTTCTTGCTGTGAGGCAACAGTGCTAACCACCACGCCACCGTGCCACTAGAAACCTGACATCACACCTGTTTAAGTTTCAGCGCGTCACTACTATCGCAGGGCCTCGGTATAAAGAGGGCTAATTTAATTACAGCCCTAAAAGTGCAATTGAAAAATGCAACTGTTTCAGACAGTTAAGTCCCCAGCTGTCACATTGCTGAAATGTAATCGCCCCAGACTAAAACACCCGTCAGCCAGGCACCATGTTTTCTTAGTTTGATCTTGTTTGTTTCAACGATGGTGTGTTTGAGAGTTGCAAATTGCTCATTTGACTTGAGGACACACTTGTGTACTTTGTTTGTAATGCAGCTGCTCCCCGTGTGAGCTGCTGTGGAATGTTCTGGCTTATTAGAGTGATAGATATTCCTGCTTTGTGTTGGACTGCAGTGTTCGTGGAATCTGAATAGTGGCTTGAAGAGGGGGGAAAAAACAGAATGTTTATTTGCTGAGAATTCTTCCCATGTAGATATTTTCCCTCTACTGGGCCCGCAGCAAACCTCTGTATTATACATATCTTCCCATCGTAGACTTGTTAGCCAAACTTACATTCTTTGCCATGTTACAATATTCCCATAGATCTGTAAATAAATATAGCCCTTGTCCATAGGTGCATTTAAAGTCTACAGTGGTCTCCTTGTGACGAGACCTCTTTAAACTCTTAACGTGCACCGTTGTGACTTAATGTGTAATTAATTAAGGCCACTTAATTAAATACAATGTGGACACAACTAAAGGGGGTCATTGTTAAATGACGTTAATGTTGATGCTTACTTTGTCAAGATAACTGTATAATAAACAGTCAATTAAAATTTTGGATGTTTCATTGCGAATGCTTTTACATTATTCTGTCAGTCTATAAACAATAGGGCCAGTGGAATACAAATAATCTGCGGCATTGAACTCATCAGAATATTTTTTATTATATAAATCCCACTTCCGTCAGACGCTGTTGAAAGCAGTAATTAACCACAAATCCCTTTCGTTAAAACTACACATTCATCAGTCTGCTCCCTCGTCTGTTTCATTGCTGTTGAGATTTACTGGACCCAGGAGCTCCTTAAATCCAGTATTCCTAGACGACAAATGAGAAACACAAGGGGTGATGGTAAACCTTACTTGGGTGTTTCCGTTTTATTTAAAGAAGTTTCCCCCACCTTTCTCTTTTGGACTGCATGACATAGGATCTCTCTCTTCTCAGGTGATCCAGTCGCTCTCTGACAACTGTCTTCTGCTGGTTCTTACCCTCCTAAAAGACAGTAGTGATGGTAATATGATCACAGATACAATTATGTAGACTGATTACCTTAATATACAGTTTTTACCCGTGGTAGATCTTTTGTCAGGTGCCTTAGCCGGTCTGCGTGTTTCCGGCCAAGTAGGTCTTCCTCTGCTATTCTATGATCGACAGACGCTCCTGAACCTGCAGGACAGACCGTGTCAGGGTGACATGTCGCCTCTGCCTCCTGCAAACACTGATCTGTACACTCTTCTCCACATTTCTCTCACCGTCAGAAGTTGCCTCTCTTTATCCCTCTGCTGCCTCTGTTCCACCTTTCTTTGCATGTCCACCAGGTTGCGCATTGTGTATTCTCTCTCCATTTCCGAGACTGGTTCTCGTGCCCGCTCTCTCTCCAGCAGTGTGGAATCCCTCTCCACAGGGCTACTGTCAAACTTTGCAAGAGCAAACATCAGATGAGGGAATGACGAGGAAATGTGCAGTACAGCTCTTTGTTGCACGCACGCACCCATGTATCGGCAAACTCACCGCGGCTCGACTGTTATATTTCTGGTCCTCTGCACGAGGGGTTTCGCGTACTCTCGTGTCCCACAGCTCCGGCTCTGCCGCAGTGGGACACCTTTCTACCTCAGGCACTTCTCTGTCTACATTAGCGGCCTGTTTCATCAGTTCAGAGCAGATGTCACCCCCACCCTGCTCAATCTCAGGGGGGTCAACCAAGAGATGTGGATGTGCGGCCTGCAGGGCCTCTGCTGCCAAACCACGCGTTTGCAGGTCACATTTAGATTCTCCTATCTCGGGTTGTTCAGCCGGCGCTCTCTCCACCGCGGCCGAGCAATGAGGATTTAAAAAGGGTAAAGCAATCTGATGAATTACATGGTCATGCAATATTTTATTTTATGCTTTTCAAATCACATAGAGTACCTGTCCTGCTGTGCTGCACTGGGGGGGGCTGCAGAATGTGCGACAGGTTGACTTGGTGTAGAATCAGAGTGGAGCAGAGCAGGTTACATCTCCTCTCTGTCCCCCACTCCAGTAGTCCTCTCCCACGTTGTGCGTTCAGCTGTACCGCTTCCGTCCTCTGGCTGTGCATCCCGGCTCCGTCCTGCAGGGCCTTCCCCGTCCTCTGTGTCGTCCTCTGCTGGTTTGCTCCAAGCGAGGGTGATCAGCGAGCCCTGTTTCTCAAACCTCCTGGGGCTCTTTGCTGCACTGCCCACTTCTTCTTCTTCGTCGTGGGCTTCTCTATCTGCGTCAAGACGCGTTGCATCTGATACACACAGGATCTCCAGGTAGGGCAGGTCCTCCACGACCGCTCCACAATCTTGGCAGGGGGGTTGGGGGGGGCACAGGTTGTGGTTGGGGCTGCAAGTGTTTGGTCCAGATTTGCCTCTGTCCGCGGTGGCTTTCCAGACATCCTCTCTGTCGGTCCTTTCTGCGGCTCGAGTCACATTTAGTTCTCCCTCTGCCTCCACCGTGGGAGCTTCAGCTGGCTCACCACTGCTGTGGCGATCATCGACTGTGATTCGCTCATCGGGGCTATTTTCGGTTAAGTCTGTACGTTGAGATAGTATAGAGCCTGAAGCAAAGGGGGCATTTGACATCAGCTGGATCAGGTTGGTGCACCGCTGTGCTTGAAGTTCTGATTCGTATGCTTCTCGCAGAGCTTGGACACACTGTGCACTCTGCCGGAAACACATCATCATTTGAACAGTCATGGGCTTCACCGATAGAGCTGCTGTTAAGTGTCAGATCTTGGGATCGGATGTTGTGGTTTGTCCTGACTCACCTCGTCCATCAGTGCTGGCAGTGATGCGGATGCCTGGACGTCCTGGAGCTCCATCAGATGAGTCAAAAGGAGCAGGGAACAATCCTCCAGATGGTGTTGGCACCACGCCGTCGGTTGACTGCTTGCGTTGGGCTGCAGTTGTGGTTGACGGTGCTCTGAGGTGGTCTGAGTGTTAATCTGCAAGTCAGCATAGAGTTCTCGAAGTCTTTGTATGCAGCCATTTCTTAAAGCATCTCGTTGATGGTTATCTGCATAGGAAAGAGAAAACACGGGGTACAAAGACAGGGGAATCCAAAGGAAAAGCAATGCTGACGAGCACACAGCAGACAGAAAGAAGAAGAGGAAAAAAAGATTCACATACGCTCTTTTGGAGGCATTGTGGAACCTGGTTCTTCCAAATCCTCTAATGAGATCCCATTTGCCAACTTGAACAGGTGCTTCCGCTCCTGTTCCTGAGTCAGCACCATCAGCTGCAGCACCGCCTGCTGTAAAAGGGCCAACGTCTTTGATGTGCTGCTGATAAAACTACTGTAGTGTTTTCCTTTTAAGCTGTTACGTGAGAAACAAAATTACTCACTAATTATTAAGAATGAGTCTGACATGTGTTGCCTTTCTCTCTGAATCAGGGGCTGCAGATTTACATTACCTGCTGTGGTGACACCGAGATAAAGTCTTTCTTTTGCTCTTCACCGTGCAGCCACAGCGCTGCCTTCTCTGCTCTGCAGGGACTCTTTATATGAGGCCTGAACAAGGACATGAGGGACATACACAATATAGCTTGGTAGTCAGTGCATCTTCCTTTTTCAGTGTTCTAATTTGAATTGTCACCCTTCAGCTTTGGCTCACCATGTCTCCCAGGACTGCCGCGCTGCCAGTAGAGCGCTGTAAGACATTTTTTCTCTCTGAGCCCTCAGAGTTGCCAATCTGATGTAGAGACACAAGAGCCTTAGGCTCCCCCTGTCCAGTCTGGAAGGTAAAATATTGAGGTATCAACTCTTTACGTACCTGGTAAGAGCCATGTAGAAGTCCAAATGTGCACAATTCCTTGCATAAGTGATAACTTACGTTGAGCACAATGAGATCAAACATATTAATTATATAAATACATCTAAATTAAATATGGATGTACACAATATGTTTGATTATTTTGATTCTTTTTTAGAACCTGACCCAAGATATTTCCTGAATCCATCTATCGTGCAAAGTAAGAGCAGACTCGCTCTAAGTATTTACCTCTCACGAGGACTGTTAGCGCGTCCCTTTCTTGCTGATGAAATGTGAATAACTCACACAGGAAAGAAACAGCAGACCAACACTGCTCCCTGCACTGGGGACGGCTCCCCACAGAGGCCCTGCAGGAGAGTGATCTCCGTTACGGTGCTTTTGACGCTCTTTTTGATTAAGAGGCATGGAAAGTGGTTAGCAGTGTCTCCACGAGTTTCGATAAAGCACCTGTGTTTTCTCACATCACTGAAAGGGAGTGTCCTGTTTCATTCAGGACGTCAATTACTGCACGGTATTTTTACTTTACTTTTTTAGTTTTGAGACCTTTAGTTTAGTTTACTACAATCATGGCCTGTGTTAATGCTTGCTCTGCCATATAATCAATTTTTTACAAATTGTGCCGATAAGCAACGTGCAAGTGTTACTATCATTAGTTGCAAGCTTTGCACGAGCAGTGCAAAGCTCTGTCACTCACGTTACAGGTGCAGGTGACGCAGTCTTCACCACTGTCGGTCCAGCTGCTGCTGTTGGCCACACGTCTGTTCTGGCCCTCAATCACACAATCTTCATAAAACACGGGAGTGCCATCACAATAGTGGCTGTTTTAATGCCAATGAGACTTCCTCCAATATTTGTAATACAAATGAGAGGAAAGCTGCTGTTGTGTCACCTTTACACACTGGGCAGCAGGGGTCTGGGGAGTTGAACTGTTCATCAAGAGGGCAACTAGGTGGGAGGCAGTTTTGGTGTAAGCAGGTCCATGTCAGGTCCTAAATGACAGACACAGGATCACTGAGCGGCTCAAAATCCCACAGGTGTACCGACAATTTAGATTTAGATGCACAGGTCAAGCTAAAACGCACTTCATTTGCATCCTTAATATAAAAACGTTTCATGTGATTTCTGACAGCCATTCAAAATACGTCACCAAACGCGTCGTTGCTGTGGTACCTTGCAGTGGCAGGTAAAACAAGGGTCATCTGTTGCCAAGACCTCGTTGCCAATCAGTGCAGCGGTGCAGTTACTGAGAGGCTCTAAACGTTCAAAACAAATTACAAAGCTCAGTGACAATGCAGAGGTCACAGGCGTTGTATCTTGAATGCAGTTTGGTACTGACGTGCACAGACAGGACAGCAGTGGTCTGGCCCAGAGAACAATATGTTGCTCTTAGGACAGTCGACGAGGCAGGGACACTGCTTTCGGTAGCACCTCAGGTGTTGCTCTCCGTCCGGCATCACCTGGGAGACATGGATTACAGTGACTACTATTAGGCAAGGCAAGGCAATTTTATTTGTATAGCACTTTTCATACACAAGGCAGACTCAAAGTGCTTCACATCATAACATTTCATACAATAAAGTGAAATAAAATGCAGGAATTAAAAGACAATTAAAAACAGCAAATAAAATTATAAATTAAAATCTTATTTAAATTGTTTAATTAAAGGCAGAGGTTAAAGTGCAATGTAGGTCAAGTTTAGCAGAAGGCGAAGCTGAACATAAAAGTTGTCAGTCTTGTTTTAAACGTGTCAGAGTTGGGGCAAGTCTTAAATCTTCAGGAAGTTTATTCCAGCTGTTTGTTGCGTAGTAACTAAATGATGCTTTCCCATGATTTGTATTTACTCTGGGAATCACTATCAGATTGGTGTCAGAAGATCTTAGTGATCTTGAAGGCTTATGTAGTGGAAGCATATCAGTGATATACTTTGGCCCTAAACCATGTAGTGATTTATATGTGAGCAGTAGGATTTTGAAATTAATTCTCTGACATACTGGGAGCCAAAGTAAGGATTTAAGAATTGGTGTAATGTGCTCACATTTTTTGGTCTTTGTTAGAACTCTAGCAGCAGCGTTCTGACAAAGACTCAATATTACTAAAACTACTTTGTTATCAAGGGCAACTGCAACACTTCATTAATCATTTCGGGTTTCAAAACAAAACAAAAATGACAACTGTCATTTAGTTCATTGCATTGCGTTCATGCATTTTTTAGGTGTGTATGTCAGCCCTGTGAGGCGGGGACTTAAAATCTAATAAAAAATAAGATACATTTATAAAAAAGGTACCAGCAACGCCACCTAGTTGCGGAGTCTAGGTCTCCATAAAACAGGTTCTTGTTCACCAGAGGAAGAACAGCATGGATCACAAGACTTAAAAGCGTGGTTTAAAAGGAGGATTTTATTATTAACTAAAAACCCATAAATAACTACAATATTAAAAGTCCAGCTGGAACAAGGTACTAAAAGGATTTAAGAATTCGACCAGCCACTGCTGCTGACCCGTCCTGCCCTTTCTTCTTGTTTCCGGTTCCATTCCTTTCCTGGGTGAGGTGTCCAGTCCGTCTCGTTCCTCTCCTCGTTGCACCCTGCCTGCTCGTCCGCTGTCTTGCCGTCCTCTCCCTTGATGTCCTGTGGCTTCACCTTTCTGTGGCTTCCCCTTTCTGTGGCTTCCCCTTCCCGTGGCTTCCCCCTTTCATGCCGTGCTTAGTGTCCTTCAAAGCAGCTGTGTTAATTGGAGAGGGGAGGTCCTTTCATTATGTAATGTGGTTGGTCAGGGCTCTCTGCAATTGATTAGTCCCTCCAGGTGCATGTACTGAAAGGTGGGTTGATATGTAAAAATGTAATAAAACAAACCACGCAAAAATGTAATAAAACAAACCACGCAAAAATGTAATAAAACAAACCACGCTAAAATGTAATAAAACAAACCACGCTAAAATGTAATAAAACAAACCACGCAAAAATGTAATAAAACAAACCACGCTAAAATGTAATAAAACAAACCACGCTAAAATGTAATAAAACAAACCACGCTAAAATGTAATAAAACAAACCACGCTAAAATGTAAAACCAAACCATGCTAAAATAAACCACAATGTCCCTCTGGTGACAATCCTGCAGGACTTTCTCTCCGTCCTGCTCATCCTCACACAACGATCATCTCCTCCTTTGCACATCAGACTTCATAGTCTTTTAAAAATAACACTCACATTTTCAGCTTAATCATAGTATAGTTGAGCACATGGCTAGTGTGGATTTAATTGCAAATGAAGCATTAATCAGTTACAGCAAATGAAAGGATTAGGTCTGGCTTTCTTAAATGAAGTGCATATATTATCTACACAATTCTATTTTATAGACATGGATGAAGGGCTAATTTACATAGAGTGAAAAGTGCAGCTGCACGGAGCCTCGACATCATGCTCGGACACACTCTTGACCGGTGGTCTTGCTGGGATGCAGGCACTCGGTCGGGGGGCAGCGCGTGTGTGTACACAGCATCTCTGCATTCACACAGGTGCAGCTGGAGCAAGGACCCTCAGGGCTCCATTTGGACCCTTCCTCATATTCTACCCCCTCCAACACACAGGCTACGATGAGAAAGATGAGTCATATATTTGTTACGCCTTCCACCCGTGCAAGTTTGTGCGTGTTATTGAATGCATTATTACCTTTGCAGATGGGACAGCAGAGACGTGGGTCCATAATTGGGTTGGCGCACCGAACAGGAGGGCACTTCTCTTCACGGCAACTGACATTCCCCCCCTAAGACAGATAAGAGTATGAAAATGTTGTGTTTTTGACTTTTTAACAACAAGTATGCGCATGTTCGGGTTTGACTTGCCTTACACCTGCACTGCAGGCAGGGTCCACTTCCAGCGGGGGTAAACACTTTTCCATCTGCATACATCCTCCTTTCATACTCACATCCTGTGGGAACAAATAAAAAAACTTGAATTATATTTGCTAACAGGGCCAAACAAACATGTTGAAATATCATGTTTTAGACCAATTTACAGATACAGACTACCAGGGCTGTAGTGGAGGGTAAACGCACATAAAAGCCGTTTACGCACCTCTAGATTTTTGGGAATAGCGTTTACGCACCTATAAATAGCGTTTACGCACCTCTAAGTGGCGTTTACGCACCTCAAAGTTCCCTGCGCCTTGTATTCTTCCGTTGGAATAATCCGAAATACACTTGTTGTAATTTTAAAACAGCTAAGAATACGTTTCCTATTGTTGAACATATAAACGGCGTAGTCTGAATCATGTTCATCTGCGCTGTATTACGGTCTGTGAGCATCCAATCAGCGCCTTGCGGCTGCAGCAGCGACCAATCAGGATCCAGGAGGCACATACACGCTGTGGATCAGCCCAGTGGTCCCCAACCTTTCTTACCTCACGGACCGGTTTCATGTCAGACAATATTTCGCGGACCGGTCGAGAAGGTCCGACGGGGGGGGGGGGGGGGTAGTAGTCGCGCTCTGTGTTCGCTGGTCGTGCACGGTAAAAGAAAAACGCCTGGTGACGCGTAGATTAGAAAACAAGTCAGTTCTCAATGTGAAAACAAAACATGCTGTATAGGCTATTTATGATGACGTAGGTAGTACATGAGTGTTCCTTTAACGTTAGTGTCAGTGTGATTGACAGGCTGCTTAACTGGTTAACTCTTAATTCAACATATTTGTTCAGGCAGTGAGAGGACAGGCAATGATGCAGAGAGCACAGGGAGAGAAACACCAGGCCCAATAGAGAGAGAAGCACAGAGGAGCCATGAACCCCAGAACGCCTGTTCTGGGGTTCATGGCTCCTCTGTGCAAGGCAGGACCTGACGTGGAGGACAAGGAGGCCCTCTGTGCACTACTGTGAAAAGGAGACTCCGTATGTAGATAGTTCTTAATCTGCTATTGTGTTGTTGTGTTGTGTTGACATACTTTTCTTCACTGTTTTCTTAAATTTAACATTTAACATAATGCAATATAGCCAGGACAGCCTTACAGAGTCACAGAGAGTTGCTTCGCATCGCGTCGAGGTCTGTATGATCACAAAATTCAGAGTTTACCCACCTCTAATTTTACCACTACAGCACTGCAGACTACTGACCATCGCATGTGGGACAACACTCGTCTTTGTGCTTTACTGGATGACTTCAGTGAGCTGTAGGGCATGCTGAGTCCATGCGCTCACAAGACACACCTCCTGCCTAACAGCAGACATGAGAAATATAGGTTATTTTCTTCAAGACATCTTTATTTATTTATTTTAATCACACCAAATTTCATGAAATTGCAGTAGGTTCTGATTTTCTTTGAGGCCCTTTGTCTGGAATACTTGCCAACAATTCATCCAGTCACATATAAATAACTTTGCCAGACTGAACTGACCTTGCAGTGGCAGTGGAGGCAGGGGTCTCTCGTAGAGGGGAACTTCTGTCCGTCCACGTACATCTTGGATTCATATTCACACTGCTCACATCTACAGGTCACACACAAACACACACACACACACACACACACACACACACACACACTGTACCCAACTAAAACCTCTAAAAAAAAAGAGATGAATGATGTGGATCGATGCAGGCTTTACAGGGATATAGATGAAAGAAGACAAGTTGGTTACCGCGGGCAACAGTCTCCAGCACGATGCACCGGGTTATGACAAGTCAAAGCAGCACAAGGTAGGGGTGAACAAGCAACGTTCCCGTTCTGAAGGAGAAAGATATAATAAGGATGCAATTGATTTATACACACGATGAATTGAAATGTATTGTTGAATTTGATTATTAATGCCATACCAAACATGTGCACACTTGACAACGGTCTCCAGTAGGGATCACAGCTCCGTTAGAGAAGTCACAGCCGTTCACACCGCAGCCTACATTTCATACGCAAACACACGCTGCGGCTCTGCAGTTTACTGAAGCACACACACACACACATGCGCACACAATTTAAGAAACCCACCTTGACACACTGGACAGCAGGTGTTGGGTGGAGGAGCAGCTGGGTTTTCACACGGTGTGTTACATTGCTCCCTCTCACAGCGAACGTGACATTCCTGATGAGAGAAGAGTAGAAAACAATAACGACACAGACAAAGTTTGATAGAGAAGATACGAGGGTTGAGTTGCCAAACCCACCAGACAATAGCAGACTCCCTGTCGACCTCCACTCGGCTCCGTGATCATACTGGACACCAGAATGGACACAGCCTGCAAGCACATTTGTACATTCCTTTAGTGGTATTACTGGAAATTAACATATATGCAATAGAAGATATCCCTGTGAAATCTGGAGGCAAATCTGCAGCCCCTGTTGTCTGTTGATGCTCTCTGGCTAATGTTAAAAAGTCAACAGATTGTACTACTATAATGTAAGATTAACAATGATTTAGTGTCACCTGTGTCCTCACTTCAAGGCTCTATGTTTTAGGGCAGATGTATCTCTCTAACAAGGATTGTTGGGGACAGATTTTTGTTTGTTGCTCTTCCCATACCTCTGCATCTCTGGCAACAGTCTCCAGGTACAGTCTCCCTTTGTGTGCACTCCAGTGAAGGGCAGGGTTGGGGATGGCATTCCCTGTTACCCTCCTGTTTGCAATGAAATCACAAATAGGATAAATAAAATGATGACAGTGAAGACCAGAGTAACTGTTGAGGCTTGAATATGTTTTATTAGCGCAGGTGTGTGTTGAAGCAAAGATACTCACCTTACACGTACACGTCTTGCAGCTATCCGTCACACATTATGAACTGAACCATCCAGCTCACATCCTGAAAGTTGGACATAGGTTTAATTGCATGAACATTTTTGAGCTTGTGTTATCCCAGGAGATAATGTGTATCTTGGCAGGTCATGTAAGCAAAGTGGAATGTGGAAGTAATTTTGAGTTTTGGTGGTCCCTCGTTTTGCGCTTGCTCTCACACATACTATATTTTATGGGCCGCAACTTACTGTTAGAGTTACAACAGCTTTGCTTTGTTAAAAAATACCTTTGTTTAATCTGCAGCTCATACTAAACACCGCAAAGAGCGAAATTGCTCAATTCTTTACCACCAAAGGCTTTCAGTTAACTCATGAAATATTGTTCCCATGACATTTCAGCGGATTCTTATTTTAATGACAACTCTTCAGAAGACAGAGACAAGGTGCAACAATCACCAATCACAAGACGCTTGTGAGGCTGCCTACTGTGCCAGCAGCCAACAGGTATTTCCTCTAGCAAGCCAAGCGTGCATGAGATCAAAGAGCCTGTGTAAGTGTGTGGGGAGTGTGAGTCTGCGAGTGTGCGTCAACTGGGTGCTATTGGACTCTTCTGGCCAGCATGCAGAAACAATTAAGAGGAGGGTTGGATGTAAAAGCCAGAGACAGTGACAGAACGGGGAGTCAAGAGGGGTGAGAGAAGGGCCACTGGGCTGGTTGGGCACATGTGTGTTGCGTGATTCGTCAAATGTAAACAATAATCACAACAGAACAGAGCGTATACTGTATAACTCTTTGGTGGTTGACTAAGGGAAACAGAGATAAAGAGAGACTGATAATTATGTAGGTCTTAATGAGGCCAAAATCAAGTTAACTTACGTCGCTCACAGCCTTTTTTATGGCGTTAAAGAAATGCCTTAAAATGATTAAATAAGCAATGTCCCTCATGTCCCAAAATCTACAGACATCAGTGCGCTTCTTTTAACAGAAAAATAGCTTCAACCAAATCCTGGATGATCCAGACTAATGGAGACATTAATGATTATTGTCTATCAATGATTATCCATTCCTACGAGGCTTGATATCACTAGAGTTAGATAAGGAAAAATAAATGCTTTCTTGTAATCTAAAAAGCATATGCAGGGTTACTTTAGAATTTTTCAACATGGACCCTGTTCCTATGTTTTTGTGTCCAAGTGACTAGAAAGCGACTTTTAAAAAAACTCTTTATTCTGGTCATCAGTCCATTAGATGGTCAAAACCCCTGCCTCAGCTGTCTCCGACATACTGGTCTCTTTGTCAGGGCTTATTGACGGACGTGGTTTCGGGAGCCATCTGCAAACTGGCTACTTAACACCAGTTGAATGTGTGTGTGTGTGTGTATGTTTTTGAAAATTAATATCAACATTTTATGTTGTATTTTGTTTTGTGACAAAGATAAACTGAGTGAGCAAATGAGGGAGGGAATTAAGGAGTAAAAGAGCATAATCTAAATCATTTTTACCTTTTACGTTAGTTTGACATGTGACCTTTCCAGATGTGCACTCACACACAGTGCTGAGGTCAATGGCCAGCGCTGTCCATTCTCCACTTCATGCCCCTCCCACACACATCGCTGCCTCACACACTCACATCCCTCCAGGTACTTTACGCGTGATTGCAGGTCTGCGTTCTGCAGAAAAATGTGAAAACTCCATGTTACGTTTCTTCTTGTCATGGACATCGCAAAGCGTACCTGGGTTTTGACCGTGTTCAGCATATGCGCCAGCTCTTCCAGCCTCCTCTCCAGCTCCTTCAGCCTGTCATCTTTCTGTGCCTGAGAAACAGACTTCACCCCTTGAGGAGATCCCGGGGGCCCCAGCACCACACCTCTCTGCAGCTGGTCACCATGGACGTCATGGAGATAATGGTTGGTTTGGCCCGTTGGCCTGCTGCTCGTTTGATGTTTACTGGAGGATGAATCCTGCTGGAACATTTGAGTCCGAGAATCTGAGCTGTCTGCGTTCATAGACGGAGTCAGAGCATCTGAAAGGAGAAAGCAGCACACATTGGGAGAACAGATTCCTGGATAATTCTACCCTTAATGAAAGAAAAAACATCCTGGCAAAATACTGTACGGACAAAGAATGGAGAAAAAGAAAAGAAGAAGGGAGTCATGACAGGGTGTCACGTGGGTGCCCTCTAGTGGGTCCCTGCGGACGTGGGTGCGACACCCTGTAGCTAAAAAGTTAGTCTGCTGCAGGGTGTGTAACTGTTATGATGCCACGAGGTTCCTTCTGAGAACTTAACTTCTGTGTGTTCGCCAGGTGTCTTAACGTCACACAATAAACGGCCGATACGAGCCGAATGTGGTCCGTGTCCTGGTGGTGATTTTAACAACACAACGCAAGCAAGAGTACAACCGCTACAATGGTGCCGTGACCCGTTCTTCACCGCCGCGGGATTTCTGCCGTTACGTCGCGGGAGTGCAGCTTCGACACGCTGCCGAGTGTATTTCAGTCCCGCTTTGGTTCCGTGAGTCGCCGCCCATTTTTTTTTTTTTTCTCTCTGTGTTATGGGCTGAAGGTGACGATACAACAGGTTTAACAATTAATGAGGGATTCCTTTTGTTTAAGTGCTGTTTGTTAGGTTCGTTTTCTTTTCATTTTTTTTTCTTGGACATGGTTAGCAGATTTTCACATTTTAAAGTGGTGTTTTTGTGTGTTTTGAATAGTGTACTAGTGTAAAAGAACAACAACAAAAAGAAAAAAAGAAAAACACTTTGTTACGCGATGGATCAGTCAGGATTATTTGGTGTTGGGAGGGGGCGAGGCTTGTGGTTTGACTCGACATTACCAACTGTAGGGGGCTTAGAGAGAGTGAGCCTTTGACTTCAACTCCTCACAATGCTATGGGGATTCAGGGTGCAAATAATGACATGTATGGGGGTGCTGATGTCAGTCCAGGTGAGCACTTTATGCCACCTGCAGGTCGAGATGGGGGGCACGTCTCAGTGGATGTGCTCAGTGACTTAGTTAAGAAGATAGGGACCAGTATTGGGGAAAATATTGTCTCCTGTCTCAAGTCGATTTCAGCTAATGAGGCAAGCGTGGCTCGTTCCTCCGTGGCTGATCTGTCCAAAGTTAACCTGACAGTGAGCCACCAGAGTTATGAGCCACATCCTTTCAGGGGCGACGGCACAGACCGACTTTCAATTTCTGAGTGGGAAGGTTCTGTTAGGGTGTATCTGGCTAGAAGGGGCGTTGAGTTATGTGAGCAAGCAGGGGAAGTATTGAACAAGCTGCAAGGAAGGGCGAGTGATGTTGTGAGAGTTGGGCTACGTTGCAGGCCCTCGTTAAACTTGCAGTTGGGCCCTGAACCAGTTTTTGACATACTCAAACAGCATTTTAGCGATAGTGTGACCTCCTTCATGCCCCTAGCTGACTTCTATGACACCAAGCCATTCTCGGCTGAGACGGCAGTTGATTACCGGATTCGGCTTAACAAGGCCATTGACATTGCTGTGGAGGGACTGCAAAGACAAAACAAAACTCTTGATAACCCCTCTCGTGAGGTGACTGTCATGTTTATCACTCACTGTCCTGACCCTGATCTGTCTCTAGTCTTCGGCTGCAAGCCACTTGAGGAATGGACAGCTGCTGATGTTCAAGTCCGGCTGGATGAACATCACCGTAAGAAGCGTCTTCAGCAGCGTCAGCCCACACACCCTGTTAGGGGTTTGCATTCTGCCCAGGCAACAGATGCTCTGCACAGCCACATTCAAGCTGCGGTGAGCCCCCCTGCTCCACAACCAGCTGCTAGGCTGCTTCCGAGTGGTGGTCAGTCCCTTGAGCATGTTATCACTCTGTTGGAGCGCTTGTTGCAGCAGGACTCTTCTCAGCGTTCCAGGCCGCTGAGACAGAGGAACAGCGGCCGCTCCAGGTTTAGGGGCCCGTGTGCAGTTTGTGGTAGCGATGACCATGACACTGTGTCCCACTGTCGGAATGAACGCTTGTGCTTTCGCTGCCATGCTGCTGGACACCAGGCGATGGCTTGCCCTGTCAACCCTGGTCCTGACTCACCTGCTGTCCAACCGGAGACTTCGCCGAGGCAGGGAAACTAGCTGGCCTACACGAGGAGGGGACTAGTGGAGGGCCCGATGACACGTCCCCGATTGATGATGTTGACTTTGAATCTGTTTATTCTCAGTTTTGTGCCTCGACGGACTCTGATTCCACGGTGGTATTTCAGAACGCACAGAGACTGGCTGCGACTGATAACCTTTTCTACACCAGTGTGTTGATTCAGGACGCTCTGGAGCTGCGTGCCATGCTGGACAGTGGCTCGATGGCGTGTTCTCTAAGTTCTCGTGTGCTTCCTTTGCTGGAAAAGGCTAACCTTGTTTCTCCGGATTCTATTGCTCCCACATCGGTTGTTCTGATTGGATGTGGGGGTCTGAGGACGTCCCCAACCGGAGTGTGTGAGCTTCAGATGAAAGTGTTTGACTGTCACATCTCTGTTCCCACACTCATTGTGGATGGCCAAAGCGACGACTTGATTCTTGGCAGCAACGTGATAAAGCATCTCATTCGTGTGCTGAATGTTTCTGGAGATTTCTGGACCAAAGTTTCGCTCCCGGATCAAGCTTCTAGTGAAGAGGGGGCCCTGTTGCAGATGTTGGCTACTGTGGAGAAATGGAGAGGTGGTGAGGTTCCTGACAAGGTGGGCACTGTCAAACTTAAACATGCTGTGACCCTGGATCCTTTGAAAGAACATTTAGTTTGGGGCCGTCTTCCTAGCCATACTCGCCTCTCAGCTGGCAGCACAGTCATAGTGGAGCAGAGTAACTCACGCACGGTGCCAAGGACAGTTATGGTGGGACGGATTGTGACGTCGATGTGGGGGGATGGATGGGTCCCTGTGAGAGTGATTAACCCTTCCAATAAGCCAGTGACATTGAAACGCAACTGCAAGATTGCTGATGTTTCCCCATGTATGGCATTTGAGGAGTTTGACACTGACTATCTGTATGTGGAAAGCAAGACGGATTACGTGAAAAGCAATGTGACTAAGACTTTTTCCCAGACAAGTACCGGCAGTGAAAAGAGCTTAACGGTTGGTTCAGAACACTTTTCACACAGGTCTGGGAGCTCTGTGCTCGACAACTTGGGACTGCAGGACATTGATGTTGACTCGAGTGACTTGTCCCCATTCTGGAAAACAAAACTTGTTGATCTGCTGGCCAAGTATGAATCCATCTTTTCACGTCATAGTTTGGACTGTGGGAGAGCCAAAGACTTTGTTCACCGGATTCGGCTGAGTGATGGCAGACCCTTCAGACTACCGTATCGTCGCCTGTCACCCTCACACTATGATAAGCTGAGGATGGCCTTGAACGAGATGGAGGAGCGGGAGATCATAAGGAAGTCTATGAGTGAGTATGCATCACCTCTTGTTCTTGTTTGGAAGAAGAACGGAGATCTGCAGCTTTGCACAGATTTCAGATGGCTAAATGCACGCACTGTGAAGGATGCACATCCTCTGCCGCACCAGGCCGATGCTTTGGCTGCCCTTGGGGGGAATGCTTTCTTCTCGACCATGGACTTGACTTCTGGATACTACAATGTGGAGGTCCACGAGGAGGATAAGAAGTTCACTGCGTTCACATCTCCTTTTGGATTGTATGAATACAACAGGCTTCCGCAGGGGCTGTGCAACAGCCCTGCCACCTTCATGAGGATGATGATGGCCATTTTTGGTGACCAAAACTTTTTAAGCCTCTTGTGCTATCTGGATGACATCCTTGTCTTTGCTCCCAATGAACAGTTAGCTTTGCAGAGACTAGAAATGGTGTTTGAGAAGCTAGAAGCGCATAACCTAAAGCTAGCGCCAAAGAAGTGCCATTTCATGCGGCCGTCGGTAAAGTTTCTGGGACACATTGTGAGTAAAGAAGGCATCTCCACGGATCCAGAGAAGGTTAAGGCTATTGTGGATCTGTGTGAGGAGGATTTGATGGTTGAGGGGACAGACATTCCCTCACCATCCAAGATAAGATCCTTCCTTGGAATGGTTGGGTTTTACCAACAATTCTTTGAAGGATACTCAAGTATCAGCAAGCCTCTATTTGCCTTGACATCTGGCGTGACAAAGCCGAAATATAGCAAAGGTAGGAAGAGACCTGTGGCTAAGAAGCTAACGTTGGCTGATTGGAGCCCGGAATGCAGCGAAGCCTTCTCTAAGTTGAAGCAGGCGTTATTGGAAAATGCTACATTGGCTCATCCCGACTTCAGTAAGCCATTCCTGCTGTCCGTTGATGCCTCATCCAATGGCCTTGGTGCTGTGTTGTCACAACTGGCGGAGGGCGATGACGTGGCACGACCAGTGGCTTTTGCGAGCAAGTCTCTCAATTATGCCCTATCACGTTATCCTGCGCACAGGCTAGAGTTTCTAGCTCTGAAATGGGCTGTTTGTGACAAATTCAGTCATTGGTTGAAAGGCCAGCCGTTCACTGCGTGGACTGACAACAACCCGCTGACCTACATTCTCACTAAACCAAAGCTTGATGCCTGTGAGCAGAGGTGGGTGGCGAAACTTGCTCCGTATGACTTTCGAATCAAGTACATTCCTGGCCCTAAAAATGTGGTTGCTGACGCCCTCAGTCGCGAGCCTTTTGTTCAGCCGAGTATGCTGCATCGACTGACTAGAGTCCCGTATGGCGCACTACTGGAAGAAGCAAGTGTTGTGGATTCTGACCATGTACAGGATGTGTTTCGTCAGTCATGTGATCCAGCACCTATGTTGCAGGCGGACCCGGGGGGCCTGGCCCCAGAGACCTCTGTCTCACGCCAAGCGGTGTGTGCGGTGCTTGAGCGTTCTTTGGACCATGACTGTTTACCATCACAAGCCTTCCTATTGCCACAACTTGTTCGATCCATTCAACCACATGAGTTGTCTGATGTCCACCCTCTACCCAGAGATAAGCTATTGGATTTACAGCGCGCAGACCCCAGTTTGAGTCGGGTGCTTCACTTTGTAGAACGTCGACGGCGTCCATCGAGGCGGGAGCGTGCGGCTGAGCCGGTTGAGGCCCTGCGGCTCCTTAGACATTGGGAAAAACTCACCTTGAACATGGGTGTCCTGTATCGTGTCTCCAAGGACGTTGTTACCAAGAGGAAAACTTTCCAGTATGTGGTGCCCTCTGCGCTAAAGGAG